TATGCCCTTTATTGTTCGTTTTGCATTCCACGCTTTGACTGCTCTGGTTTAGACATGTTTGTGTACTGCAGTGGCTTTTCGTTGTTCCGCTTTCTAGTTATTTTTCGTGTAAAAAAAACCCTGGTATTCTCGCACCTCTCTTCACATCGCTTATCGTTGGCCAATAGTTCAAATGCACAAATCTATTTTTTGTCTTTGCAGTTTTTAAATCTGTGGTATCGGTTGTGTGTACTCGAGAACTATTTTGTCAAGAATTCATAATATTCTCATCGTTGAAAAAAAAACAGCAAGAAAAGATACATGATTCCGGAGCAAACTTTTAATGAATGAAACTGCTTTTTTTCTTCCTCGGCTTAGACCAGTTGAACTGTTGTGCTAACGAAAAAGGGAATGCTTTCGTATGCTAGTCCCAGGTACTTTATACGGTCTGGGAATTCCAGTTCTTTGTACACCCTTGTATTTGGCAAACAATGAATCCATAAGTGATCTGCTGAAATGTCAGTTATGGAAGGGAGCTCCCAGACAAACTTTTATAGCGTGCATTGCTTATTATAGCACTGTACATTCTATCATTGATGTGAGAATTGCAGCTATGTAATGAATTCAGTATTTGAAAAGTACTCCTAATTCGTTAAGAGTTTTAAAAAATAAATATTTTTTATTAAGATCTTATCATGCCTCGAATATTTCAAAAGCAGGAGAAAAACAACAAGTAGCAGATAGCTTGAAGACATTGAATGTTAACTAACTATAGTTTAAAACTATCTAGGGGCTTCTGTTCGGGGGGTTATTTTCTGAAATACCTCATTCCGCTGTTTAGCTAGTCTGCTCTAACATTTAGTTTTGTTTTGAGATACCCAGATCTGTTTACTGCTTTTGTGATTTTGTCGCTTTGCTTGAATGAATGTATGGCTTTGTAGCAGTAGATGTCCTTTCTAATATTCACAGATGAAACCGGCTGCTATGGATACGGGGGTAACGATGTGCATTCTTTTAACGACTACATTAAACCAACCGCTGCACTGCTAATTTCATATCTGCTTAAATATGTATTTATCTTTAACGTATCGGAATGAGGTCAAGAAGTGGTAGAGAGAGAGAGAGAGAGAGAGAGAGAGAGAGAGAGAGAGAGAGAGAGAGAGAGAGAGAGAATTGTTGATAGAGGAATAGGTCCAGACTCAAGCCCGACGACGTGGAAACGACCCCTCACCCCCGACTCACCAGCTCTCCCTAAAGTCCGGGTTCAGTATTTGGCAGCAGCAGCAGCAATTTTCAAAATATAATAATATTTAATTAATATAACTACCATAAGCTC